CTTTTCTTTCCCAATCCAAGTATAGCTCCGGATCATTCTTTCCTTGAAAAGTCGGAATTGTGATCTTTATACTACCTATATTGTTATCTCCTTTGGAGCCAACTTTCAAAAAATGTTCTAATTTTCCCCTTGAAAAAGGTGTTGTTCGTAGGTAAAAAACAAGTGAAAGCCATAAGTTCAAAATACAGCTTTGGGAAGACATTTCCTTGAAAAAAGGGAGCCATCTATGTGGAGTGTTTATCTATGGATGCGAAAGTGACAAGGGGACACATCCCCACGTGTATGTTACTGAACTGCCAAGGCGACAAGGGTTCTTATATATAGATGCGAAATCGAGGCTCTAAGATGATACACCTTGGAAGACGGGAGGAATGAGCGGTACTGTTGAGGGCACTGACGCAACGCCTCATTTGCGTTAAAATAGGAAATCTTTTGTGCAAAGATCTAGCCAAAATAAGATCCACCTAATTGATTGACATGATGTCTGCTACAAGTCAAACCATAAAATTCACTCATTAGGGGGCATTAAATTCCCGCTAACCTATAGACTGACTGATTGATACCTAGGAGAGAACGTTTCGCCCGACAGATGAGGCCACATGTTCCTCCATCCAACAGGTCCCAAGTGCACCCATTCCCCTATATATACCCCCACACGGCACCATTTGAAAGGCAATATAACTCTACACTAAAATATATTTTGTTTTACTAACTTCGAATCAAGGAAGTCACTCTATTTTCCTTCAACTTTAACTAACTTGACCATCAGAGCACTTGTTGCTGCCTCCACCACCACCTGAAAAGGCCACGAGTAACTAAGGGTTTGCTATCATGCAAAGAAGCCATCTATGTGGAGTGTTTACCTATTGGCCACGTGATCCTTAAGAAAATTACAGTTAACAGATTGACACCGTATGTGAAAAACCGCACATAACCACGATCATCCTTGTAGACAAAGCTTGCCGAAAAAATGTTCTGGTTTTCCCCTTAGAAAAGGTGTTCTTCATGGGTAAAGAACAAGTGAAAGCCATAAGTTCAAAATACAGTTTTGAAAAGACATTTCCTTGAAAAATGAAGCCATCTATGTGAAGTGTTTACTTGTTGGTATCCTTACGAAAATTACGGTCAACAAATACACGTACTGTCCTCGAAAAAAAAGGAAGAGAAGGAGAGAAATTTCACAATCTTAGACAAAGTCCACACATTACATAAATAATGTCCATACATGGACTTGGGGGACTATTGTTACGCCTATTACGGAGAGGCTCCCGATCAGCACCTACGTGGTTGCCGCTACATAAATAAGTAGGGTCCACATCCCCGCGTGTCTATTACTGAACTGCCAAGGCGACATGGGTTCTTATCTATGTACGCAAAATCGAGGCTCTAAGATCATACACTTTGGAAGACAGTAGGAAGGAACACCATTGTTGGGGGCACGACACATCGCCTCATTTTCGTTAAACAAGGGATCTTTTGTACAAATATCTAGTTAAAATAAGATCCACTCAATTAATTGACGTGATGTCTGTACAACAGACGCCAACAAGTCAAATCACAAAATTCACTCATTATAGGGCATTAAATGTCGCCAACCTATGTACTAACCGATTGATGCCTAAGAGGGGACGCCTTGCCTGGCCAATGATGTCATGTGTTTCTTTATCCAACGGTCCCAAGTCCACCCCTTTCCCCTATAAATACCCTGCGCAGCACCATTTGAAAGGCAATATAACTCTACACTAAAATACACTTTATTTTACTACCTTCGAATCAAGGACGTTACTATCTTTCCCTTCAACGTTAACTAACTTGATCATTAGATTACTCAAGACCGCCTCCATTACCACCGAAAAGGGCATGAGTAACTAACAGTTTGCTGTTGTACGCAGGAAGCCATCTATATGGAGTGTTTTACGTGATCCTTATGAACATTACAGTTAAACAAAATCATCGTATGATTGTACAAAAATGTTTACATCAAGTTCCAAGAGACAATCATTGTCTCAAGAATTTTCTAAGACCAGGCCAGCTCATGAATGCATGACATGTGTGCATTTTCTATAAATACCCCCACATAGCACCATTTGAAAGACAATATAACTCTACACTAAAATACACTTTGTTTTACTACCTTCGAATCAATGACGTTACTCTCTTTCCCTTCACCGTTAACTAACTTGATCATCGGAATACTCGCGACCGCCTCCACTACAACCGGAAAGGGCACAGGTAACTAACAGTTTGCTGTTGTGCACAGGAAGCCATCTATATAGAGTGTTTACCTGTTGGTCACGTGATCCTTACGAAAATTACGGTAAACAAAAATCATCGTATGATTGCACAAAAAGGTTTACATCAAGTTCTAAGAGTCAATCCTTGACTAAAGAATTTTCTAAGACCAGGTCAGCACATAAATGCATGACACGTGATGAATTATTTGAGACGATAATAACTTAACTCATTTTACAACACTTTCTTTTTGCGATGTTTATAATTACGCAAAGTTGACTAATACAAACTCCAAACAAGTGTGGTAAAAATGATTTGAATTAAAAAAATATTCATCGAGTTCAT